CCAATAAAAGTCCAAGGCACTCTCTTCAAAATCGACAGTCTTTTTATGTTTCCATGCGAGCTTTTGATACCAAATTTCAGTAAAGTTTGATCTCATGGTTGAATTTTTTATCACCCTGAACCAATCCGGCAGTTTGTCGCAAAAATGCTTTTTTTTGATGGCCTGATTTTTGGTCTAGACGTTTTCATAGTATTTCCGCTCATCCGTATCCCATATTTTGCCGAAATTTTCCCCTAAGCCCTATGCAAATGCCTCGGCCCGCCGCACGATGAATATGCAAGGAGAAAATGTCTACATTGTATCGTCTTTCGGTCCGTGGATTCTGGAATTCAACCCCCCGTCTCTCTCTCTTTCGCCCCCCTTCGCCCAGCCACTAGCGCGGACGCCCGAAGAGCAGGAGAAACGACGACGACGAAGAGCTTCAGAGGCCTCGTCGTCGTCGTCTCTCTCTCTCTGCAGCCAGCCGGACGGTTTTCGCTCAAAAAGAAAATTTCTTTTTTTTTCGAAAAGAGAAAAAGGGCCGTTTCTCTTCGCCCCAGCCCCCCATTCCCCTTCTCCACACACATGAATATTCAGAAGGGGGGAGAAAAGAGCGGAGTGGGGGCTTCGTTTTACCGCATCAGACTCTGCGGGGAGAAAGTGGAAGCGCAGACTTTGGGAGCCCAATTTCGTTGGGGTTTTGGGTGCTCAAAAAATCCCAAAACCTCATTGAAACACACATCATTCGATGAGTTTTTGGCTTGTCTATGCTGCTGTCTAGATATCTTCCAAATGTGAAAATTTTTCGTTAAGTTTTAGAGGCTTTAAAATTTCCGAAAATCGATTTCGGAGCCCACTTTCTCCGAGGTTTTAAATGCCAAAAAAATCTAGAAATTTCTTAGTGTTTTGTGTTTTCTGGTGCCTCACGTCTTACTTTACATTACTATCTAAGGGCTTACTAAAATTTTACAACCCGTCCCCAAGTTATAAGCCGTTAAAAAGTAGTCCGACGGCCGGGAAAACCAGTTATCGGAAAAAACGTGAAGGACGTAAAATACGATAGAAACTTGATTCTTTTGATCGAAAAGACTCTCATAGATCCTCAGGGCGTTGAGAAAATCCAATTAGAATTGGGATTTAGACCAGTATTAGTGGAGATAATACCATTATTACTCGTAATTGCGAAGATTACGGGTCTCGTGCTAAATCTTGATGATACTACTTGAATTCACAGCCCTTACTACGTTACATGGATTGTATTTTACATCCAATGCGACTCCGCAATACTTGTATTTTTCGGCGAAACCGTTTTCGCCATCAAAAATCTTGTACTTGCCCTACATTTCGGCTTCTCACAAAGTTCTTGCCGAATGTCGGCTAGGCCCTTTGGCGACCACTCATCAACGACCATGGCTCTTGTAAACGCTGTACGAGCGGCACGCGTTGTAAACGAATTCCTAATCCGGCGAAAATTATTCGTTAGGGCCGCCAGCATTTTTTCGTTTTTACGTTTTTTCGTATGTCCGAGCGGAGAAACGAGAATTATTCTCAATGTGTGAGCGCCCAAGGCCTCGGGCATTCCGCGGTGTAAGGTCGGCTTGACATTGTGTTATTGTTGAGGCGTAATTTCAGAGTGTTTCTTGGCTTGAAATTGCATTTTTTGCGATTTTTGAGTAAAAATTTATGATTTTCGCAATTTTCGGCTTTTTTCGTATGAGTAATCTGATTGAAAATACTTTTTATTAGTTGAAAAATACTTTTTATTAGTTGCTTGTTCAATGACGTCATATGTTTGCGTTTAGTCATCAGCTTTCCTCTTGAATTTATCGTAAAAAATTTGCCTATATCACCCCAATTTTGGCCTCAAATTCGATTTTACAGCACTCCAACCCTTGCATACAGTACGATGTATCTCTTTTTATCGTTTAATTTACTTAAAGTTCCCCAAAAAATTTGCGGCGGATCCCCTTGTCGGCGTGGGGCGAAAGAAAAAGGGGCCCCGTTTCCGATGCGAAGGCCATGAACTTTGTTTGATTTACAGGACAGATAATGGTGCATCCAACTTTATGTCCTTTTCCCCCATCTCCTGAGGCATTAATTCGCTGTCTGCAAATTCATAATCTTTCTGGTATGTGGGGGGCAAAGATCCGGGCCAAAGATTTGCTAATTCCGGCCTTGGGCTTTGCAAGGCTTGCAATTTTTATGGCCTTCTTTCCCGATTACTACCTTGAACACGTCGGTCGACGTGGCACGCGGGATAATCTTGACGTTGTGCGCTGTAAATCCGAGGAGGAGATTAGACTATTGGATTTGGGTATAGGTAGAGATTAGCGGCGCAATTTCTATGAACGCCATTTGAGAAAGGGCTTCGAATTTAATAGCGGTGACTTTTGATCGTATTATCGAGGCCAGAGGGTGACAGCAACACCTCATATAACAAAACTTTTTTAGTTCTTCGCTATACTAGAGTTCCGCCTTGAATCTATCCGTCTGTCGGGAAAATAATGTGGATTTGTCGCAGCAGAATTTCTTGTCGCGGTGGCGCACCAAATCCCTAGTCGCGGCTAGCCGTTGCGAAGCGATGATGGGCGATCCAAGGCGCGACAAATCCACATTATTTTCCCGACAGACGGATAGATTCAAGGCGGAACGTTGGTACAGCGAAAAACAAAAAATTTTTTGTTATATGAGGTGTTGTTGTATTGAGGTTAATTTGGCCTTAAAATCGTCCTCTCGGACCTCTGAAATCGTTTGCTATAGACTGCTTTTATAGTACAGAATTTATATGTAAAGAGGTTCCACCGTATTAACCGCAATACATCGAATTGCAAAAGTCACAAGAAAATTATTAGTTGTATAAGGTATTCATTAAATAGAGGCCCGTAATTGTCTAAAAATCTCGTTGAAGACCGCAAAAGTCGCTTGTGACAGAGAAATTTTGTTGTATTTGAGTTTGTTCAAATCTCAAATACAACAAAATCTTTCTATAACAAACAGTTTTAGCGCTCTTTAACGCGGCTTTTAGACTAAGCGTTTTTGGTTTTCAATCTGTTTGCCGTCGTTTTGTAATTTTTTACACAAACGCTTGCGTCTTCTAATCCTAAGCCTGTTTTGCTAAATTTTTCCCTCAAAATTTCAAAACTAAATCTTTTTGCCGCAAAAACAAGCTCTGTTCTTTTTTTGGAAGCCGTTAATTGAAGATTTTCAGTGGCTAAACTGTTTATTAAGTTACAAGTCATCAAAAATCCATTTTTTTTATATCCCTCTTGCATTCCAAGCCTATTCTCCGGCGATTACAAGTCATCAAAAATCCATTTTTCCATATCCCTCCTGCATTCCAAGCCTATTCTCTGCAGAAAACGTGAGGATTCATCCCTCACGTTCTGCGTGATTCACTCCATTCCCGAACACCTTTCTCTTCCAATCCAATCTCTGTCAATCTCGACGTAGATTGCAAAAATTAATCAATGTGGAGATGGCGATTATTCAGGGTAATCTCTGTATTGTCTGGAGAATAATCCCCGGCACCAACGAGCATTACGTGGGGGTTCTGGGTACGGCCGAAAGAGCGGAAAATGATTAAGGGATTCGAACGGTCCTCAAAGGCTGACGGATAATATATTCGTCGAGAATTTGGGATTTTAGGGGATTTTGCGACGCTCAGATTTATTGAGGGCTAGCTGTGAGGGCTTTAGGGGCTGGATTATGTTTCATCTAAATTTTGAATGTTTTAGAGGCTTCTGGATCTTTCAAAATTTTTATTAGCCCCTTAGGAATGTCGGAGCTAGTTTAATTGTCAAAAAGGAGGAAAAAGTGATCAAAAGGTATCCAAATTTGGTATCAAAAAGTATCATAGAGATGCAAAAATGCTTTATTTTGAAGAGAGTGGCTTGCAATTTTGTTGGATACTTTTTGCGACTCGAAAAAGGTCTCAAAGACTATCCACACAACCTCCTCTCTTTAAATAAAGTATTTTTTGTATCTCTGTGATACTTTTTGTTACCAAATCCGGGCTAGTTTTAATCTTTCTTAACGTTTTTGTGGACTGACGCAAGTCCGGAGGTATTTGAGGAATGATAGCGGAATCTTTGTTTCTTTCTTTCCTGCAGGTCAGGATTTCCACCTTCGCGGCACGCTATATTTACGAGCCTTGGAAGACCAGGGATCCTTGTGTGTCCGAGGGTGGCACAAAGAAGATTACAGAGGACTTATGGATGTAATGCTAGATGTCTGCAAGACTTTCTGTATGTTTGGGATCAGATGTCATCTACGGAAGCGTAATTTGCGATTGCAAGCCGTATAAGGAGTTCTCCATTCATTTGGAGCTTGGCTAAGGTTATTGTTGATCATTCCGGGTCTTCTGTGCTCTTTTCGACTTTAAACGGCGAGAGAATGAGGTGAAAACAAACGCCACGATGGGTAAAACTCGAGTAGAAGTTTAAAAACTGGCGTACAATAAATCCTGTATATTATGAACAATCTCAAAGGTCTCAAGAGTCAATCTTAGGCCAAGACGAACCTCTGTAGTACAAACCTCTTATAGAACGAGTAAATTTCTTGGTCCCTTACGATTCGGAAAACTGTGGACCGCAACAAATCACAAGGGATCAACAAATTTACTCGTTATAGAAAGTGTTCGTGGTACGGAGGTTGGCCTACAATGGATTTCTGGGACCTTTGAGATTGTTCGTTATAGGCAAGATTTATTGTACGGATGTTTTTAAACTTCTACTCGAGTTTTACCCTTCGTGACTATAGGGTTCGCCTCATTCGCTCGTCTTTTAAAGTCGAAAAGAGCACACAAGACCCAGAATGATCAAAGGTGACCATAGCCAAGCTCCAGGTGAACGGAAAGCTCCCTATACGGCTTGCAATCGCGAATTACATTTCCATAAATGACATGTGATCCCAAACATAGAGAAAGTCTTGCAGACATCTAACATTACATCCATAAGTCCTCTGTAATCTTCTTTGTTCCACCCTCGGACTTACAAGGATCCCTGGTCTTCCAAGGCTCATAAATGTGGAGTGCCGAGGAGGTGGAAATCCTGGCGTTCACCCCTGTCGCCTTTTATCATAACGATTACAACCGCAGATATCGAGCCAACTTCTCCATGCGTCTCGCTGCCTTTGAAGGGTTCAAATTTCTGTTCAAGCGCGCTGTTCTCATCACCCAATCTATCTTATCATTAGCCCCAATTCGAAAGCCAGTACAATCACACTTTCGATCTTGATTTTACACTACGCTCTCCCTTCTCCCCACCCTTGATTCCCCCCATCGTTTTCGCTGTGGGGCGAAAGAGAGAAGGGGGGCTGATTAAGAGCGAAAGCGAAGGCAAGGCTGTTTAGGAGTCGGGGGGCCGTGTGCAGATAAAGGGATCTAGAGATATCTCCTCTCTATCTCCAGCCCCACCACTCCTCTGCCCGATTTGTGCGGGCATTGGGATTAGCCACTTGAAGGAAGAAGAGAATCTCTTCAAATGACGAAAATTCCCCCACGAATTTCGCCACGAATTTTATTGTACTGAAGCCGAAGCGATCGCAACGATCGTACAGAGAGTCCAGCAGGGTCCGCAGGATTCAATCAGCGAGATAAGATTGGATTTTGAGGGGTGAAACTAAAGGCTAAAATGTTATCCATAGAATCTTGGAATTTGCCCGATTTTGACTTGATTTTCTTGGATTTGACTTATTGAAACGTTGAAATATTTATTTCTCATGATATTACATAGACTCTGCTGAAAGTTGAAGCCAATTTTCATTGATTTTTTCCTAGAAAAATTTGTTTTTCCCCCGATTTTGTCATTTTTTCCGTTAAAAATTTAAAATCTCAATTTTTCTCTGTTGATATCGAATATTTCCGTGGTAAAATGACTTTATAAACATCTCTTATGGTCCTGTTTCTAATTTTGACTCAATTTCAGATTGTCGACCGGTCGAAAAAAGCAGCAAAAATCGTTTTAGTCCGCACAGCAACACAATTTCTTCAGCTTTCAATAACCCCTTTTATGGTCGTATTTTACACCCATCCGCTTTTCGAGACCCCTTGATTGCCCGTCTCATTACACAAAGTTTCGTTATCTCTCCTCTCCCGTTGGTCTCCGACGTCTAGCTGCACCTAAACTTATCTACGATTCTTATCCCCATCAGCCAGCAATTTCTTCAGTCGCAGGGGTGTTTGTGCATTTCGATTGTCTCCAAGTTTTGCGTACACAGTCTAAATAGACCGTATAGCAACCGTTGAGACTTTTAGCGCAAGTTTTGAACTCGCCGCTGGGATATTACGCAAGCTTTTTTTTGAGAGAGCATGGAAAATGAGGAGAGTCTGACAAGGGAATGGTCCCAACGATCCGTGGGATCCACAAATGAAACCTAGATATTCTGAAAGAGCAGGTAAAATTTAGTAGGAATCCGTTTTTTCTACTTGCCGAATAAGTCTGTGCGACGAGAAATATCGACGAAAAGATCCGACCAAAAAATCGAAAGAGAGAAAAGACGAACCGAAAGGCCTTGGAAGGCGTCACCAAATAGTCTAGTGGAAAAAGTTCCACGCACAAATCTTTTGGGGGAGGGAGGCCTTGGAGGTTCGAGTCCACCCGGAGCCGGACATCTCCGGATTTGAACCTACGTGTTTGTTCATTACTGTTTTCTACAGTTATAAAAAAAAATTTTTTTTGTTTCTTGACCTGTTTTACAAGGTTTTTTGCATCCGAAGCCGTGGCAATCACTGGTCATTACCTCTTTTTATGATGCCGCCAGGTCCAAAGAAGACAAATTTATGCAAATTTTATACCTTCCGGGCAGAATTTGACAAAAATAATTTGGGCATTTGTTAAACACATGTCCACCGCCATTTTAAACCAAAAAACTTAAAATCGATTTTTTCGTAAATATTCACGCGGTCTACTACACGCTGACGCAAGAACCCAAAAGTTCTCTTTTCAACTTTTCTTGCAAAATTTTATGAAAAGGTGAGATTTTGGCAACATCCTTTTTGGGAAACCGAAAAAGATCTGCAAGATCCTATACAAACTTCCAGAATCGAGTAGAAGTGTCTTGAAAATACCACTATGTCGACATCATGCTTGTCAAAAATAATGCCGAAGTGTCAACTTTTCTTAAAATTTTGCAACAAACCTTGCAAAACAGGTCAATAAACAAAAAAATTTTTTTATGTAACTGTAGAATACAGTAATGAACACGTAGGTTCAAGCCGGAGATATCCGCTCCGGGTGGACTCGAACCTCCAAAGCCTCCCTCCCCCAAAAGATTTGTGCGTGGAACTTTTTCCACTAGACTATTTGGTGACGCCTTCCAAGGCCTTTCGGTTCGTCTTTTCTCTCTTTCGATTTTTTGGTCGGATCTTTTCGTCGATATTTCTCGTCGCACAGACTTATTCGGCAAGTAGAAAAAACGGATTCCTACTAAATTTTACCTGCTCTTTCAGAATATCTAGGTTTCATTTGTGGATCCCACGGATCGTTGGGACCATTCCCTTGTGAGAGACAAAAAAAAGTTGTTTTTCCCGAAAAATTTGTTGGAGGATCCTTGGAAAAATTGATTTTTCCGTGGAAATACCAACAATTTCAATAAGCTGTTGAATTTTTAAGTCGAAAATCGATTTTCAAAAAAAAAAAATTTTTTCGTTTTTTTTCATCAAAATCCATTGCCAGGATTTTTTCATTGAAAATTTTCTCTGTAGAAGCCGTAAAATTTTGTATCAAGGTGTTGTAAAAACTTTCGCTCCAAGACCGGCTCGTATTTTTCGGTTCTTTTCGCTCTTTTTACGTGTGCGTGACCTGTGGGTTCGAAATTTTTTTCCGAATTCGAGGTAAAGACCCCCCTCCATTTTCGCGAAAAGTCCCCGCGGAAATTGGAGTCTGCTCTTCGATGAGGAGGAAGGTGTAGGATTTTTTAAAGAGATCAAAGCTTAGACCTTGAATTTTGAAGGTTTTGGGGGAGCTGTTTGATCTTCAAATTTGGCGAAGTTCGACGTATTAATTGCTGAAAATTTTAACTCGCGCTTTGCAGGGAGAGCTGAGATATTCAACGATCTTTGCGGCCGAGAGAGTACGGGAAAGGGGGAGAGCGGGCAGAGAAAATTTGTTTTTTGGGTTTTTCTCTCGATTTATCGTAGAAAAAATTGCTTTTTGTGGAATTATTGTATAAAATTTGGGCTTATTTTTTTGAAATTTTTTAAATTAAAAAAAAATGTCATCAAAAAATGACATGATGACAAAAAAAATTTTTTTTTTTGATTTTTTATAAACTTTACTCTATTACAATCCTCATACTATTACAATTTCTCGAGTTTAACAAGTTTTGTCTTCTTGCGCTTTTTAACAATTACTGCCGAAGGTTCAAGCACCCGAAAACTACGAAAATTCGATGTAATGCATTTGGAAATCTATTCATAACACTTTATTCAGTCTTGTTGCTTGACGACGCACGTAGTTTTACATTTTATTTTCTGTTAAATTCTTGTTGAATTTTGAGATTTTTTGATTTTGAAAAAAAAAAAATTTTTGATTTCGTAAAGTTCCCATCCCGATGTGTTTATATCAGTGTTTTGTATCGCAGTCTTTGTTTATTTCATCTTGTTTTGTCCATTTTTCTTTTCTCTACCTGTTTTTGGGGGTCTGTTTATAGTAAGTAAAGTTTAGATATTAAAACGGGATTTTTTGAAATTTCAAATTGTCCAAGACGATTTTGAAGAGTCTGTTGAGTGTTTTGTCTCTCTTTGGGAAAAATGTTAGACATCAAAGTTCGAATTTCCGCAAAAAATTTTGATTTCCCATATTTGTTACCTAAAATAAGGTAAAAATTGTCGATGTTTCCAAATTTTTGTCGGATTTTTGTCTCAAATCATTTATTATGTCCCTTGCTATCCTCTGATAGCCTTTATTCGCCCTCTCGGGCAGATATTTTTCAAAAATTTTCGTTTTTCCCAGTTTGTTACCTAAAATAAGGTAAGAAATCTCAATATTTCCTGTTTTTTTGTCGGATTTTGGTCTCAAGTTATTTATTTTGCCCTTTGCTATCTTGTGATATCACTTATCCGCCCTCTCGGGCAGATATTTTTCGAAAATTTTCGATTTTCCCACTTTGATACCTAAAATAAGGTAAGAATCGCGATTTCCCTCGATTTTCTCAAATTTTTTTGTAAACTCTCGTGGTGAATTCTGTTTTATGCCCTAATATTCAATTTCCAACCTTTTATACGTCCTACAAACCTGCTCTTATCCCCGGCGAAGCGGCCTTTTTCTAACTACATTCCTCTTTATTTTTCCCTTCATATTTCGTTCTCCTTTCCTTTCTCGGTATGCGGGCGCAGTATCAGCGCGTGTCTGCTACAATCCTCCTATTACTACGCCCCCCAATTTTAATAATTTCCGTTGCGTATGGCCGCCCGCTTTCATGAGGGCATTCGATTAGCATTTTCTTCGGATTTTTCGCCGAGATCCGCACTTTTTTCGCACTTTTCCGTGGGACAAGTGCAATCTGGGTACGTGGAAAGAGGAACGTACGACAGTGCAGGTCATTCGGGAATTTATAAAGGGCATGTTGGGTAGTTTTGAGGGTTTTGGGAGTCTGAGAAGGAGTCTACATTAATTTAGGTATAAAAATTTTTGAAAATGGCAGTTTTTGCAAATTTTTTGATTGTAAAATATGTATTGTGCTACAGAATTGCTGTTAAAGTTGTAGTTTTTATTTTAACTCTTCGGAATTATCAAAAAAAAAAAAAATTTTTTTTACCTTATTTTAGGTATAAAATTTTTTTAAATCGACGATTTTTCGATGAAAACATTAAAAATAAGTTGTAAAAAGTAGTCGAGGATAATTCACAGAGGTTTTTAATTTTCAATAGATCGATTTATACTCAGTTTTCACCATTTTTGCCTACTACAATATAATCTCAAGGTCTTTTTCCGATTTTTTTTTCAATTTTCCGAATTATCCTATTATTTATTGGCTTCTCAATTGTCAATAACCCCATATTGCCTCGCTCTAAGACCCTAAAACAATGATGAACAAGGCTTCAACCGAGATTACCCCATCTTTCCGCTTTTTATTCCAAAAACTGAAAAAGTTACTTGACCCAAATTACAACCCCCACCTCCAGCTTCTTGTTGACTGTCAGGATGGCCGCGGTGGAACGGAAATTGGATTTTAATCCATCCCAATGTTTGGGATTTTGCTAATCTCTCCGTTATCCATAATGTTTTTTGAGGAATTCTTAATTTTTTCCTCAAATTTCGCGTTTATTGAATTCCGTGGAGCAATTATCTTGGTGAGAGGGGGAGTTAAATGTAATCGTTGTTGGCTTGGGGACGTTTGAAAGTTTTGAAATGGCAAGAGAAGGGCCGTGCTTTAAAAATTGGGATTTTGTGGGGAAAAGCTTCGAAAATCGAGATTTGTAGTATTTTTAGTGAGCTAAAACAACTAAAAAACAGTTTGGAATTCATTTTTTCTTACTTTTACTACAGGTTTCTGAATTTTTGACCACTAAAATTTGATGAGCAAGTTTTTTCCGATACCATGTTGACGAAATGTCAAATTTTTATTTTGGCGTTTCTGAGTTTAGCTTTGGCTGCATGGAAATTGGGCGTTGGGAAATTGGACGCCGGGAACTTGGGCGCAGTATTTTTTCCTTATACTGCGCCCAATTTCCCGGCGTTCAATTTCCCAACGCCCAATTTCCATGCGGCCTAAGATTGAAGTTTCATAACTGAATCACAAAACTTTTTCTGTGGCGAAACGTCAAACGAGATTTGTGATTTTCGCTTTTTCATCAGAACCCTTTAATCCGAGACTTCCTCATCCACCCGGTATCCAATCTTTCCTCAATTTCAATGTTACCTTTAACACACCTAATGCCGAGCGTCATATCAGCGGGCAATCCGATTACTTGCAGCGAATTATGTGGGATTAGGACGGGGGTGAAATCCGCCGTTAATCCCATTCGAACAAAATTTCATACAAATTGGAAAACCCCACTCCCAAACGCCCGTAGGGGATCGCAAATATTGTGAAGGGGTAGAGGTTTTCCGTGCGTCAAAACTCATAACACACACGTTGGTTGGTTGTAAAGGCCTATGGACTTTCAAGATGGGGGATTATAGTTTAAAAGTTTTGTAAGATTGAAAGCTTATTTCCTCCAAAGGATTCATTTGTTTGGAAACCCTCATTTGCTTAATATAAATCCAGAAAATCCGTGATTATGACGGATTTTGTGTCATTAGGATCGAGGAATATGGATTACAAATATCGTATTTATTAGTAATACTATTTTTGAAGACACTGTTACATCTTAAAATACGCTAGAAATCACCTGGAAAGTTTTCCAATACTATGTTGACGAAATGTCAAAATTTTATTTTTCTTTTATTTTTTCCGTGAAATCACTTCCCCTGAGAACCTTGACCTGCAGAATGCATATCATAAATAATGACGAAAATTTTACCACTGTAATTTCGTAAAACTTGCGAATAATTCCTCGTATAATTTACCAGAACACCTGGATTCCCGGCATCTTGTCTGGAATGGCCCTAACAGCGTGCTTACTCTACCTCTATGTGCTCTCATTGCTCGTCTGATCCCTTCGTTGTCTGATGTCGGATCTTATCAGAACATGTTTTGCGTCCGTCGCTTTTATGGGGGAGAATTTCAGCCCGATCGATTGGGAAGAGCTCCAAATTTCATTGTCATTTACAACAATCCTTCGTCTTACCGCTTGCCGACTTTACAGCGGGCATTTGGAGGGGTGATTTGAAGTCGAAAAATGAGCGAAGGTGTAATTTGACACTTTGTTCAAAAGTCGGGAAATTTCGCGATTCTGAGGGAAAAATCTCTAATTTTGAGATTTTTTGATGATAAAAATATTTAAAAAGAGGTGTCAGCAAACTACAGGCCATTTATAAAGGTTTGATATCAGTTTTGAGAAATTTAATATGTCATGATGACCGATTTTTTGGAATTTTATCGAAAACGTCGTTTTTGAAAGCCTTTTTTTGATTCTCCCCCAATATTTTTGCAGTTTACAAATATCGTTGCCGGATTTCGACGTAAATCCGCGCCAAGTGCTTGTGCGGATTGCCCAATCTATGTATTGTACTGTTTCCATGTTTCCCAACCCCACCAATTTCGCTTTCTCTTTTTTCCCAACAAATGGTGGTGAATGGGTGGAGAAGGGGGGAGAAGGGGCTCGTGGAAAACGTCGGCTGACCCATGCACAATATACACACGGAGTGGAAATTGGTGGGAGAGAGACTATGAAGAAGAAGAAGAAGGGCTCTCCGACTTCTTCTCTTCGGGCGAATTTTCCCCCATTCAGCGCTCTCTTTTCTCCCCCCTTTCCCTGCCTCGCCCTTCGTCTTCTTCTTTCTTCTTCGCGTGTTAGTGTGTGTTTTTTTCGTCTCCGCACACAAAAAAAAATTCTTTCACGGGCCGCCTGACTTTTTGCCGGCGGCCTCGGGAAGAGAGGCGAAGCGAAGGGGAGTGTGCAGGATCAGTCACCATCGATCGTGCTGAAATCTTCCCCCGACTTTTCGCTGCATTGTGCTGATTCCGCCCCGTCTTTTTTGGGTGTAACGTTTAGTTTGGCCAAATGTGGCCCTTGGATTTTTCTTTAGCTTGACAAAGGTTTAAATTAAGAATCTTTAAGACTTTATTGAAAGTTTGAGCAAGCGCTTTCCCAAAACTATTGTGATTTTTGGGTTGGAAATTTGTTAAAAATATTTTTTTTGCCAATTTCGGACCCAAAAAAAAATTGATGACGATAAAATTCCCACAAAGATTCAATTTTTTCTCATCTCCCCTCATTTTACGTACTCTGTGGCAATTTCGTGAAATCAGTCTGTCGGGAAAATAATGTGGATTTGTCGCGCTTTGAAATCGCCCATCGCTTTGCGACGGCTAGCCACTGGGTGATATACTGGCGTGACATTTTGCTGCGACAAATCCACATGATTTTCCCGACAGACTGATATCTTGAATTTACAGGGATTAATTTGATGCCTATGTAATGTAATGTCAGTTTGAAAAATTTGAAAAAATCTAAATATTACACTTGAGATACCCCAATTTTCCCCCCGATTATTCGGTATTTCTACCCACGTGACTTTGCGCGCGCGCCTTTCGCGGAATCTGTTTTTTTGATTCGTTTTTCGATTTTTCAACTCTTAAATTTTTCTTCGTTGCAGGACTCCGGTCGCTCTCCTCACTGTTTTTTCTCGAGTGAACAATCGTTGGTGCGCGCCGCCACGAGAGGAAATTGGGAGAAATTAGTCGAGTTTTGGCTTGACTAATCTCGCTCGGGGCTTGGACTGTTTGGTGGACCACTGGCTTCCCAACCCGCCGTCACCACGACTTCGGGTGCGAGCGCCGGCGCCCGCACGCGCCCACCCAGCAGCGTGAAGCCGGAGGAGGAAGAAGCCGGCCCCTCGGTCAGCGGCCACATGGACGCTGAGGCTGGGAATGCGTTCGCCGCCGCCGCGCCGCTCCTCGACGCCGGCATGGCGTCCGCGTCGGGCTCCACGACCGCCTCAACGATGCCCGCCAACATCCCGGCGTCGGAGCTGATGGCCGCCGCCGTCTCCAGCACCTACCTGCTCAGCTCCATGTCGCAGGGCATGAACATGCCGGTGATGAATCTGCAGCCCGCCCGCATCAACCAACCCCCCATGCAACCCACACCGTCGGGCCGAAGTCTGTCCGACTTCATGCTCGGCCCCAACACCCTCCTCCATCCGCTGGTCACGCAGGTCCCCCAACTCATCAACCCCAACCAGTTCGCGCTGATGCAGGACCATCCCGAGTGCGTCTGCATCAACCAGGCCCCGAATCAGGCGATGGTCGCCGCCTCGGTCCGCCAACAAACCCCAATGACGGCGGGCCACTCGTCCACCGCCTCCGGCTCAACCAGCAGTCGGATGCGGAAGCGACCGCGCGAAGACGGGTCGAGCAGCGCGATCAAACGACAACGCACCAACGCCGGCTTCACGGAACAAACGAGGAACAGCAGTGCGGCAAGGGTAAGATAATTTGGCTTGATTTTTTTGGATTTTTAGGAATTATAGAGACGAAATATTTGGAAAAAAGGCTTTGACGGAGTTGAAAATCAATTTCTGATAATTGATTTGAACTTTCATTTTGTCTTTTTGACAAAATTTTGGATTTTCCACCTTAACCTATGATAATATAAATTCCGAAAATTTCCAGGCAATCCAACTCCAGCAAATCTCCGCCCTCACATCCAGCTTGGCAAGGAATGAGTCGTTCAACATGACCGCCTCCCGCTCCATATCCAACCCCAACCTTCCGCAACAGTCCACGAATCCCCCGCCCTCCGCAGTCCCGGTGTGCGCCAGTTGTCGGCGCGTCCCCGTCCCCAACGACGAAGCCGGCGGATCTCATCAACCCCAACACCCCTGCAACTGTCAAGTCTTCCACACCTGCAATAACGGCTGTCTGTTGAACCAACCCCAATTCTTCCGTCCCAACCCCATCCCCCCACCGCCACCCACCCAACCGATGATGATGTACGAGCGGCCCGGGTCCTCAGCGCATCGCGTTCGCGACGGCGAACAACCGTTCCCGTGCGTCCCAACGGCAATGTCACAGATGGACTCGACCATGTTCGGATTATTAAGCAGCCAATTGAACCAAATTTCGGCCCATCAAAGATTACAACGAATGGTGCCGCAATCTCAGTTGACCGTGCCCCCGTTCTTCAATAGGAATTACATAAACGCACCTAGAAATACCTCGTAAGTTAGTTTTGGCGTTAAAATCACTTCTGACTTTAGTTTGATGACAACAGAAAATCGAGATTTTTTGAAGCATCAAGTGGAATATCGAAAATTTTTGATAAAGCCTAATCTATAAGGCTATAGACTATCCTTCTTTTCGAAATCGAAAAGTTTTTATCAGATCTAGACACTTTTGTAGAACAAAATTTGATCTGATATCAAGTGCAATATAAAACTTGTATTTTTAGCAACTTCAATCTCGGTCTTGCCGCCACAGCCCTCCATCCAGAGCAAGTGAACCTCCTGAACACGCGTCAACAACAGAATGCGGAGCGAAACGAGCAGATGAACAACTTTTACCGGCAACACAACCCACAACGTCTAGTGCAGGTGCAAACCCAGACCACGTCCGAGATCCTCCGAAATCAGACGCTCCAAAACAACCCGATGATCATTGTGCCGGGCTTCAACCCCAGCAACAATGGCATCGAAATGATCTCATTCCTCATGAACGGCCACGACGGCGCACTGTATGTGCCGCACGCCGAGGCCACCGCTCATGTTGCACACGCCATGAATCACGAGCCACAGCCGATTGGCGCTTCCTCCGAATGCATCAAGCAATGCACGACCATCAAGAGCTACATCAAGGACCCGGAAGTGCCAGAGCAAGAGACGGAGAGGTGTACCGTCTGCCTGTTGGACTTTGAAACCGGCGATGAGATCAGAACCTTGCATTGCAACCACATCTACCATATCGACTGTATAGATCGCTGGTTGCAGTACAACAAAAAGTGCCCAGTGTGCCGATTGGACATGGACAAGGCGCCAATTGTCATCGACGACACGGAGGAGGAGCAGGCGGCCAACGCGATTGGAATCACGGCACAGTAAACAGGAAATCTCGAGGATTGGGTTCTCTCGGCATGGTTAATATCAACATGGTCTATAGATGGAACTATGGATGGAAACAGGATAATCAAGGGATCCTACGGAGCCTATAGGATGAATAGAGACGATTGAGAGCCACTATGAGCATTGCAGAGAACGACTACAACAAAATCGATGGATATCAGCTATACCTATTATAACATCGAGAAATCACACTTGTAGACAATGTAATGCCTATAGCTTCTCTGCAAAGGCTGCAGTCTATATAGCTCCTATATATCCCCTTTATATTATCCATCAAACCCTCTATTTGTTCTATTCACCAGAAACTTGTATCTACAGCCCCCAAGTGGAAAAATTGCAAATTCTCGCACTGTGATCGCCCTTTTTAGTGCCCCCAGTGAATATTTTTGCCAAACCCGCCCTCTGCAGTGCGATTAGCGACAATGCTCCGTGGGGAAACGGTCGGAATTCCGAAGGAATTCGTTATATTGTAATCAAGTCTTTCAACCCTCAAAATTCATATTACTTTTGATTTTTTCCTTGTTTCATTTGCTTGGTTTTGTTGGTTATGAAGCCCCCAATCTCCCCCCACTCCCCCACCGGTGTATAGCGAAAGAATCAAAATGTCCGAAAAAAAATCTTTCAAAATATTTCAATCCCACCCAAACCGGTTACTATACAATATATTCTGTTTTCAGTTTTGTCCGAACTCAAAACTTCAAGATTTACAGTGGCGGACCTGGTCCAGTGGCAAAAAACATACCATTTTGCATCCGGGAAGTATCAAAAATGTGGCAAAATGCCTCCCTCTCCAAGTAAAAAAACTTCGTTTTGAAGGGTCCCTCACAAAAAGAGCGGACGCGCTTTTGAATCTGAGTTTTTTTTCACTTGGAGAGGGAGGCATTTTGCCACATTTTTTGATACTTCCTGGATCCAAAATGGTACGTTTTTTGCCACTGGATCAGCTCCCCCACTGTATACGTTATAAGCAAGGCTTTTCTTCTTCTTTTTTCTTCGTCCTTTTGTATGAGTTTTTCGTCTCTTGCGGGTAGAGTTTCTAGAAATTACGTCATAACTAACCATCATTTCGATGTGCATACAATTCGTTTTTTTTCTCCCAGTTTTCCCTTTGGCTTATTGTTCTAATAAAGTTTTAATATCATAAATCGGATGATCGGAGTGTATTCAAGACAACACGAAGTTTTTATAGCCCAAATTGACTAAATTTTTTTTAAAAAAATCGATAAGAAAGCCGAAAATTAAATTGTACATGACAAAAATTTGAGCAATGTCCGAATAAACTTTTAAAAGCTGATAAAACTACCTAATTTCTCCTAAAATCTCCGTTTCTCCCTAAAAATCGAGAAAATTTGCCCCATAACGTTACACTCGACTCAAGAGGAAAACTTGACTCAAAGGCAGACTTGTCCCCGAGTCAACTGTCTCTCCATGAGCCTCATTTTCGGCAAATTTTCTCCGGGCGATTTTGAGTGTAATATCGCAAGTTTAGAGCTTTCGTTCAAGATATTAGGCAGAATTCGAGTTTGAAAACGATAAAATAGAATTTGAGCTAGCTTTTTATGTTGTTCTTGATATTGGAATTGTTAATTTTTATTTTCGCCGGTCGCCTTTTGAGTCTCCACTTAGGGTTGAGAGAGAAAAAGGTATAGTAAACTCAGAACTCGTGGTTTTATCCAATTTGCAGTCCTCACAATTTTTTTATATTATTCTTTGCCTTTCAGGAGTTAAACCTGAATTATTCTCAAATTTTTTGAGTTCATCCGTCTCTAAAGCAATATGACCACCGTCGCCAAGGATGAGACCAGTGGGGAGTCTACAATCGTGCTTCAAGAACTGAAGGATTCCGAGAAAACCACCGAACTTTCTTTGGACGAACGGATGCATGCTCAAGGTGTTCCCAAAGCCGATGTTATTGTAAGTCGCCCACTGTTTTGTTTCATTTCTGTTTTTAGGAGGATGTTCCAGAGTATTTGAAACGAAAGGGTCTTGAACTGGACGCTGCGACGAAGGAAATTCAGGAGCTTTATGGAAAATATAAAACTGTTGAGAATGCGATTCAAGAAAGGAGAAGTCGGTGGGTATTCCACCGTTTTTGGTGGACGCAATAGTTTTATAAGGTAACTACGATCGTTTCAGATTATTGGCCAACCTTCCGGACTTTGAAAACTCCTTGAATTACATTGAAACTGCAAAAGCCGCGAAGGTAGGTACCAATTACAACATAATTGCTCAAATCTTTAGGAAAAAGGCAAGACCGAGCTTCGAATGTTGTACAAATTGGACGAGAATGCCTATCAGCGAGCCAAGATCGACGATTTGGAGAAGGTTGTGCTTTTGTTGGGCTCAAATACCTTCGCCGAATTCACCTTGGACGAGGCCAAAGAGTTGTTGACCAGTAACATCAATGGAATTAACCGAGTGTAAGATTTTTCAATTTGCTTTTTCTTGGTATTTAGGACAACTCAGAGGAATTGGAGTGCAAAAAATGGCTGATTTTACTGAAATTCACCTTATTTTAGGATGGAGCTGCTAAAAGAAGAATTGAACTGGGTTCGAGACCAAATCACAACATGCGAAGTGTCCATTGCCCATTTGTACAACTATGGTGTGGTCCAGAAGAAGGCGGCCCAACCTAAAGCCTAGATATCCGACCGGTCGAAACGATCTGACAACCTGAACTTAGCCAAGTCCTACCTAAAACCTATTTTTTACCTAAAACAATATCCCAAATGCTTGTGAAGTCTCTGATAATGCGGCTTTACTTTGCATTTTAGCTTGTTACTACTTTTTAAAATCGTTCTTACCTATGATTTTGCTAAAATTTTTAAATTTTCTCAAATTTTTTATTTTTTTTGCTAAAACTTTTTTCTGGCTATTTCAGGTTGAACTTTTGAAATTTCTTGTCGTCTACAGTAGATTCCAAGGTCATCTTACTGTTCTCCACAATCTCCGCTTTGTTTTTTGTTGGGTATTTGAGATTTTTTGTTTGAAAATTAAAAATTTTTTGAATCAAGTGCAATATGATCTCAATTAGGCCGTTTCGCGCGGAAAATTGTATTGTAAAGCTATGAAAATGGGTGTAAAATATAAGAAATTTAATTTAGATGAGGTGCATAAGCGAAAAATTTTTTGTTACAAGCCGAAATTTACAAAAAATTTCGTATTTTCTGCAAATTCGGGCCTCATCTTCGCTGGCCGAAAGCTCATCGACGGACGAGCTGCCGAAAACCCCACTCTTCCCCACGAAAAAGCGAGGAACCGGAGAGCCTTTCAGCTTTGTGGACTATCGTAGAGTCTACTGTAAAGCGGGCAATGGTGGAAATGGAAGTGTCAGCTTTTTGCGCGAGAAATTCGTGGAATTTGGCGGTCCGGATGGGGGAAATGGCGGGAATGGAGGCCATGTTCTCTTCAAAGGTGGGTTATGAAATGCTAAGTTTGTATTCAAGGTTTAGCGGATGTAAATACAAAGGATTTGTCGCATATTCATCGATGCAAAGCGAGGGTTGGCGAAGACGGCGCTTCCAAGTGTTGTCATGGAAAAAGCGCCGAGCATTTGGAGGTTAAGGTAAGGGGAATTGATTTGATATGCTTTGGAGAGGCATAGGGAGGATTTGGTCATCGTTTTTAGGGATAAAAATTATTTTTTTGACTCATTTCATCAAGTTTTGCCTAGTGTAATATAAAATTTTCAACTCGAATTTTAAGACTAAAGTAAGGAGAATTGATTCTCTATGCTTTAGAGAGGTACATGAATATTTGGTCACTAGTTTTAGGGATCAAAATGGGCTTTTTTTTGACTCATTTCATCAAGTTTTGCCTACTGTAATATAAAATTTAAAACTCGAATTTTAAGACTAAAGTAAGGAGAATTGATTCTATATGCTTTGGAGAGGTCCATGAATATTTGGTCACTAGTTTTAGGGATCAAAATGGGCTTTTTTTTGACTCATTTCATCAAGTTTTGCCTACTGTAATATAAAATTTAAAACTCGAATTTTAAGACTAAAGTAAGGAGAATTGATTCTATATGCTTTGGAGAGGTCCATGGAAATTTTGCTCACTTTTTTTCATTTTTAAGGATAAAAATTATTTTTGTGACTTTTTTCTTCAAGTTTTGCCTAGTGTAATATAAAATTTTCCGTTCAAGGTGAATTTTAAGACTTTACGCTTTTTTAAAACGCATTTAACGTATTATCCAGCCAATGTGGACTAGTTTTTTAAATAAATGCTGGATTCAATCGAAATTTTTTGCTGATATTACATTTGACCTAGTGTAATATAATTTTTGTGGGTGTTAGACTCAATATTGTTTCTTTTTTTGTATCAGGTGAAAAAATAATTATTTGACCCGTTTAGGTTCCATTATTCACTCTGATCAAAGATCCCACCACTAATCGGCTATTGCATGAACTCAGCGAGCCAGACCAAGTATTTTTGGCGGCACGCGGAGGCGCCGGTGGGCATGGAAATCACTTTTATTTATCGAATCAGGTCCGAAAACCCCTAAAGGCCGAGCTCGGCGGTGTCGGCGAGGAAGTGGAGTACGCATTGGAGATGAAAGTTATCGCGACGGTCGGGCTGATTGGATTCCCAAATGCCGGAAAATCGTGAGTTGAAATTTGGAGATTTTGAAAAAAATCAAGAAAAAAATGAAAAAATTTTTCAAAAAATTGCCGTTTTCAGGCCTTAAAAGGGGTTTATAAGAACTTATTTTATATTTGAAATGGCTATGATGACTTTAAATTACTGTGTTTACCCAAAAATGACAGTTTCTCCAAAATTAGACAAAAAAATAAAAAAAATTTCGAAAAAATCAAAAAATTTCATTTCAACAGGCCTCTGAAACAATATAAAGCCCACAAAAAACACATTTGACCACTTCCCAATACAGTTTCCAATTCAATTTTACCAAAAAACTTGCAAAAAGACCGGTTAGCAGCGAGTGGTTTCGATCCACCGACCTCTGGGTTATGGGCCCAGCACGCTTCCACTGCGCCACGCTGCTACAGTCTCTTTGTTGAAAGAAAGGGGGTTCAATTTGAAGGAAAAGTCGCGAAATTGAGCAGAAGGCTGAAAAATGATGACTAATTATAGATTTTGAAATAGAAATTGTAAATTCTAGGAACAGTTCCCGTATTTTACAAACTTTTCTTGTTGGATTTTCACAATTTTTTAAAACTTTTTTTGTTTTATTCCAAAAATTTAACTTTTTCAGGACTCTGCTCCGAGCCATGTCCCGAGCCAAGCCCAAAGTCGCCTCATACCCATTTACGACCCTCAAACCACACATTGGCATCGTCCATTACGAAGATTACGAGCAGGTCCCAGGTTGGTGAACATTTTTTATATTATGGTAGAGACGGGGTTGGAAGTTTCATTGCTCTGCCAAAATTTGGAAATAGAAAGCCCTTCAGTATTTTATTTAGGATGTGATTCACGATTTAGCGACCGAACGGAGTTTTTTGCGATATTTTTTTATATTTTACTAGGCAAGCTTTGAAAATTGTCCATTACTTGAAAATGGTGGCTTGATTATGGCTTTGGGCGAAAGTATCTCCCTTTTTGGGGTATGTAGAAATAAATCTGTGAAGGTCAAGTGGCCACGACGAGTTTTACATCACTTTTTTTAATTGTTTTACCCATTAGCGGACATCTTTTTCGACTTGGTCCCTTCTTGCCATAATCTTCTCAAAACTAGCTCAGCGATGACTAGGATTATTCTAGGCAGCATGTAGATTATTTCTTCCATCACAGCTTTTGAAACGACCGTAGTATACCAAAATTTTACCTTATTTTAGTTGCCGATATCCCCGGTTTAATCGAAGACGCGCACAAGAATGTTGGGCTCGGATTCGAATTCCTCAAGCATGTAACGCGATGCCATTCGCTTTTTTACGTCCTCGATTACACGTTAGGACAATGGAAAGAGCAGTATGACTCGTTGCGAAAGGAATTACGGCTTTATGATCCGGATTTGGAGGAGAAGAAACGAGTCGTCATTGTAAATAAGGTGGATTTGCTGAAAAATGAAGAGGTAAGTGGCACTTTTTTATTTTGTTTTGAAGGTTTTGTGGCACTAAAGCCTTCGGGAACGTTTTTTTACCAGTTTCCGAGATTTTCAGGTTTTCGTGGTAGGACCCAAAATTTGAAAAGAATGTTGGGAAATGACTGGTTTTGTTGAAAATTTCGAATTTAAGGAAACAAAAGGCTGAAGTAGACGTATTTTACCATGTTTCTTCTCTTTAAATTTGATTCTCATGTTTTCGTGGCGGGACCCAAAATTTGAAAAGAATGTTGAAAAATGACTGGTTTTGTTGAAAATTTCGAATGTAAGGCTCAAAAAGGCTGGCGTGTACGTATTTTACGAAGTTTTTTTTATTTTCTTGACTTTCGTGTTTTCGTGGTGGGACCCAAATTTTTAAAAAAATTTTCGAAATTCGAATTTTTTTTGGTATAAAGCGACATTTCAATGAGTTTTCTTTGGATTAGGCATCATATTAAGGGAATTTTGGTGTGTTTTTCAACTTTTCAACTTTTCAGGTTTTCGTGGTGAGACCAAAAATTTAAATTTTTTTTGTATAAACTGGGTTTATGTTGGTTCATAAGAGCATAATTAACAGTGGCGTATTTTAAACCTAATTCACTCCTTTAGAAATTGAAATTTACATATTTCCCAAAAAAATGTTTTTGGTCCCACAACGAAAACTGAAAAAAATAATTTTTTTTTATTGACCTGTAAAATTTCAGGAATTGGAGAGGATACGCGAAGACCTCGCCGAAGATGAAATCTTCTTCATTTCCGCCAAACACGGCCACAATTTGATCCCATTAATGAGCCACCTCCGCACCGTGCACGACGAGTACTTGCGCATCCGAGAAGAGCAAAAGAAGGAGCAAAACGATTTTGAATTTGTTTAAAATACGTTAACTTCTGTCTCTGGATTGTTATTTAGATGTGTAGCAATAAATAGTGTTGGTTTTCGAAGAAAGGATTGATTTTTCAGGGTTTTCGTGGTGGGACGCATGAAAATTTGAGATTTTGGGAGATTGGAAGGTTTTTTTGAAAAAATTATGGTTTGTCTGAAGATAATAAAGTCACCAAATTTCCTTTTCCGCGTTTTCGTGGTGGGACCCGGCTTTTCTGGCAAAATAAAAAATTTGCGTATAAAATGTCGCCTTGAACAAATATTGTCGCATAAGATGTCCCATTTTTCCACATGCATATACGCAACCCATAAGTTGAAATTTGGCACGTTTTCGTGGTGAGACCCGGCTTCTTCGTTAAAATAAAAAATTTGCGTATAAAATGTCACCTTCCCAAAATTTCATCGTATAAAATGCCGTTGCAGCCCACACGAGTTCACACACTCAAAATGTGACAAATTCCATTAAGTTGTACATAAAATTTCCGGAAATTTGCAAATTTGCATAATTTATGCAAAATTAAAATTCCCCAAAACTCATGTAGGAAATTGCCCGGAGGCTAATTTCGAATGTTTAAGGGCCCTAAAAAACAGTCTCCGACTTGAAGCGGAAATAAAAACGCGAGATTTGTGGAGTCCGCAACGAGTCTCCGGGGAGAAGCGGCCCAAAAGCCTGAGGTCTTGGGTATCTGGCCAAGACATCTTGGGCCAAAAATTATTTTCCCAAATTCTAGATTGTTTTTTGGGGGTCGGATATCAGTAATAGTAACAATTTTTACTTTTCTTACACTAAATTTGGACTTTTTCCTCAATTTTCCTTAAAAAACGTCATTCTTGCCTCAGGCAAAACATATTTTTCCTTCCAAAAATGTAATTGTCAAGGGTTATAGTGTTACATTTGTAATGGATATGTGTTTATCAATGTTTTCCGCGAACAAGACATCGTTTTGGGCGTTGAAATCGATATAAAAGGGTAAATACCAAGAGTATCAATAAAAAATTAGTTCTCAAAACTTTGGCGGCCGCCCTGTTGGCTAAGTTTGTGGTCTTGAAAGTGCGGAATTTTGAGTGACATTTTTTCGGAGAACAGTTTTCTTGAGGGCGAACTTTTGCCCTTACTTTTGGCAATTTTGCGAAAAACATTTTTTTGTAAATATCTTGAATTCTGATGCACAGAATTTCTTCAAATTTTGCATACATAATTTGCATAGGTCATATATTAAATGCTGAAAATTTTATCTTCCGCTGTGCCGGCCCTGCTGAGATATTCAACGATCGACGAGAGAGTATGGCAAAAAAGGAGAGACGGTCAGAGAAAAGAAGAAAAGAAGACAGTTGGAGAATAACTTTTTTTTCGGATATATGTGTAATAAAAATAAGCGGATTACGGGGGAAGCGAGTGGCATTTTCAAGACGGAAGTGACTAATTAGCAGTTTAAAACATCAAAGTATAATAAATTATTAAATTTGAGTCATCAGTGAATACGTATATAATATGTAGTAAAATTAAAGGAGACCGGATGTAGCTGGGGATCGGGACAAGGGATCGACCTGCGTTTTTGGTCCCATGGCCGGACCAAAAATTTGAGCGGAGACTCTGGACCAAATATGGCTGGCCTTTTTGCTTTGACCCGGCGACGACTAACAACTAGAGCAGTGGCTAAAAGCTGTAAGTGGGCCGAACCGGGCCAGACCCGACTTTCCTGTTTTTTGATGAAACCGGCCGAGCCATGCATACTTCTGAACACTCCAGGAATTTGTTACTTTTCCTTTCAGTTTGTCGGGGAAATAATGTGGATTCGTCGGGCCTAAAATCATCGCTTTGCGACCAGAGATTGCCACGGTCAAAATTTCGGCTCCGGCTCTTAGCTCCCAGAGCCGGAGCCGAGGCCAAATTTGCAGCTCCGGCTCCGGCTCTTGGCTCCCATGAAAAATTTAAAAAGGTCTTTGGCTCCGAATCCCGGCTCCCGTTCAAAAAAATTTTAAAAATATTTTTCCAAATAAAAAGTTATTAGTGCCAGAGATCACACACCCAACGCTTTTGCAGTATGCATCACATCTTTACCAGTATTTTTTAAGCAATTTGGTTTAACAAGATTATGGGATTTTTACCTTTTTGAACGCTGAGAAGCCTGGCTCCGACTTTGGGCTCGGGAGCCGGAGCCGTACCCAAAATTACCGGCTCCGGCTCTGGCTCCCGGCTCCGAGCCGGAGCCAAGAGCCGGCTCCGGAGCCGTGGCAATCTCTGATTGCCACTGCTATTATCAGTATGTCGGGAAAATAATGAGCTCTCTGTCGCATCGAAAATCGCATCGCCGCCGAGAAAATGCATTTTGTCGCTGAAAAATCAAATTGCTTTTCATTTCGGCGACGCGATTGGAGCAGCGACATTGTGCTCATTATTTTCCCGACAGACGGGTAGTGGTGCGTTCGCAAAGTCAGCAAAATGATTTCTGCGACATGCACTGTGCGAAAACGAAAGTTCATTTTGCACTGTGCAACATGTTGCTTTTTGCACTGTGTAAATTATTTTTTTTCGGCTGTCGCCCGCACCCTGAGTTTTTGTGCACAGTGCAAACGCCAAAAATCACTCCAGCGACTAGGCGAACGGAGCGGGAAATGCCCCCAAGCTTTTTCGTTCCCCATTTCACAAATTTTTCTTTGTTTTTTGCACGTCAACAACACATAAGTCTCCACCCTCACGCGCTCCCACCAATTGACAGAATAATTCAATGACCGTTGGATTGGTTGATGATGCGGCTTCCGGCCAGCTAATCGCTGTCTTTTATAGTAATAAAGCCGTCCTGCTCCGCACACGACGAGCACGGGAATTCGGCGGGTGCGAATTAATTAAACCCGGCCCGCTGTTCAGCTGGCCCTAATTTTTTTTTATTTTTTAGCTCAATTAACTTTTTGTGCCTCCCGAATTTTTCGCCTTTTTTTGGTCCTGCGTTTTTTTAAAAGTGCGCGGAATTTTTGTCGCGGGCCGCATAGTGCGAAAAACCGCATTTTGCACTGTGCACTTCACATTTTGCGCGCCGCACAGTGCGAAATGGTCCGAATGGTCCGCACTGTGCGAAAAATGTCTTTGCACAGTGCGTTTTTTCAAATGCGTGGAATTTTTGTCGCCTGGCCGCACCGTGCAAAAACCCCCATTTTGCACCGTGCATTTGACATTTTGACCGCGCGATAAGCAATTGCACAGTGCGAAATGGTTCGAAAGCTCCGCACCGTGCGAAAAATGGCCCATGCAAATGCAAAAACCATTTTTGCACAGTGCGGACCTTTTCGGATCATTTTGCGCTGTGCAGTTGTTTGTCGCGCGCGCAAAAAGCCAAATGCACGGTGCAAATTGGGGATTTTTCGCACCGTGCGGACCTCTTCGGACGACTTTGCACTGTGCAGTTGTTTGCCGCGCGCGCAAAATGTCAAATGCACAGTGCAAGTTGGGGGTTTTTCGCACCGTGCGGACCTTTTCGGATCATTTTGCACTGTGCAGTTGTTTGTCGCGCGCGCAAAGTGACAAATGCACAGTGCAAAAACCATTTTTCGCACCGTGCGGACCTCTTCGGACGACTTTGCACTGTGCAATTGTTTGCCGCGCGCGCAAAATGTCAAATGCACAGTGCAAGTTGGGGGTTTTTCGCACCGTGCGGACCTTTTTGAACCTTTTTGCACTGTGAAATTGTTTTTCGCGCGCGCAAAAAGCCAACTGCACGGTGCAAAAATGGGTTTTTCGCACTGTGCGGACCTCTTCGAACCTTTTTGCACTGTGCAACCGGGCGATATTCGAATCGCACAGTGCGAAAAACTTTGCGACAAAAGTATATGCACTTTTAAAAAAACGTAGTGGCACTGGGAAAAAAAAGACTTTTTTGCTTTGTCGCTCGACCAAAAAACTAATTTGTGGCCTTCTTTCTAATTGGGGCGGGGAGAATTTATTCGAATATTGACAAAAGGACGGAAATATGTCAAGAAATGGAATGGAGACGGCATATAAATATTATAATTGGACCCGGGCCCACGGAAATGACAATTGAAGGACTTTGGATATGGCGAATGGGGAAAAATTTAGTTCTGTTTGTGGGACATGTCAGAGGGAACTGAAAACAGTGGGTGGTTTGTTAGTTTTGTGGGGGAAAGTTGGTTATCATTGTAGAGGGGAGTTCTGGTACAGTGTGTGGGCATTTTTGTGGTCGGTTTTGAATTGGCTGTAACTTCTTTAATTTTCAGCTAAATGCTGAGATTTATTATGCTGCGTATCCTTAGGATTCGGAGATCCGAACCCCGTTCAGTTCGGGACCAAATTTTGACATTTTTCGAGGTTTGTAACTCTTTTTTTTGCAAATTTTCCCTTGAAAATTTTCACACCTATTACTAGTCGCGCCATAAAGTCCGTAGAATTTTTTTCGCCGATGTCGCCGGGTGCGCTTACCGAAAAGTACATGTCGCTAGTGCAAAAACGGGAAGTCGCAGCGGCGCGGGGCGAAAAACGCACTGTGCAAAATCTACGGACTTTATGCCGCGACTAGTACTACCAAAGAGGGTAATGTTGCCACAAACATCAATTTTTCCACACTCAACTGGCATATCAGTCTGTCGGAAAAATAACGGCGGATCGTCGCAGCAAAATGTCTCGCCTCGCCGCTATCGCGCACCAAATCCCAAGCCGCGGCTTGCAATCGCAAAACGATGACGAGCGACTCCGAGGCGCGACGATCCGCCGTTTTTTCCCGACAGACCGATAGACATGGCTAAAAAGTGTTTTTCTCGCTAACCGCTCTCCACGTTTCGTGTACTCTCTCGGCAGCAAAGATCGTTGAATATCTTGGCTGTCCCTGCAAAGGGCGAGCTAAAATTTTCACGACATGAAATATGGCCTTGACAGAACGCATGGGTAAATTTTCAAAAAAAATCGACCGGTCAACCTTTGATAAACTTGGTCATGAAAGAATATTGGACTTGTGATCTTTTTTTGTCAAATACAGTCAACTT